CAGAGCCAACACGGGTCTGCACCAGGTCCTCTGTGCATATATTAATAGCTTCCTGCTTAGTGTTTTTATGGGTCTCCTGAATGTGTGAACTAGTGGGTCTCTGATTCTTGAGTCTTCTCATGGACTCTTTTCCTTCTTTTGGGTTGCCTTTGTTCAGCCTGATGTGGTGGTTTTGTTCTATTTCATTATATTTTATTGTGTCGTGTTTGGTTGTTATCTCTTAGAAGCCTGTTCTTTTTTTAAATTATTTTTATTTTTATTTTTTGGAGCTGAGGACCGAACCCAGGGCCTTGCGCTTGCTAGGCAAGCACTCTATCACTGAGCTAAATCCCCAGCCCCGCCTGTTCTTTTTTCAGTAAGAGACAGAAAGGGAGTGTACCTGGAGGGGAAGTAGGAGGACCCGGGAGGAGGAGAGGAAGGGGAAACTGTAATTAGGATATATTGGATGAGAAAAGAATCTATTTTCTTTCTTTCTTTTTGGGTTTTTGAGACAGGGTTTCTCTATGTAACAGCCCTGGCTGTTCTGGAACTCACTCTGTAGACCAGGCTGGCCTTGAACTCAGAGAGATCCACCTGCCTCTGCCTCCTGAGTGCTGGGATCAAAGGCGTGTGCCACCATGCCCAGCTCAAAAATCTGTTTTCAATAAAAAGGGGAAAAAAATTGTCTTCTGACCCCCTTATATGCACCATGGTGTAATACACACGGCTTTCCAACCAACACAAATAAGTAAATAAATGTAATAAAATATTAAAATTAATATAGGTTTATTTTTAATTTTATGTGTATGAGTGTTTTGTCTGAATGTATGTCTGTGTAGCATTTGTGTCAGATCCTTTGGAACTGGAGTTACAGATGGTTGTGGGTGCTGGGGATGGAACCTAGGTTTTCTGCAAGACAACAAGTGCTCTTAACTGCTGAGCCTTGTCTCCAGCTCTAATAAAACATTTAAAAGACAAAACCAAAAGCTGAGTATGGTGGCACATACCTAGAATTCCTGCACTAGGGAGGCTGTGTCAGGAAGATGCCCCAAGTTTGAAGTGACATTTGAGTTTTAGGTCAGCCTAAACTACAGTGTAAGACCCTGTATCAAATATTAACAAAAACCCCAGAGAACTAGTAGTATAGAAGTGCTTTTCACCACTATAATAAAATACCTGAAGCAGGACACTTAAGGAGAAGAAAAACCATTTAGTTGGGCATAATGGTGTAGCTATAATCTCAGTATTTGGGAAGTGGAGGCCGGAGGATCAGGAGTTCAAGACAGTAGTGGCTAGATGCGACCTGGTAGTTGATGGCTACTGAAGAGAGAGAGAGAGAGAGAGAGAGAGAGAGAGAGAGAGAGAGAGAGAGAGAGAGAGAGAGAGAGA